TCAAGTTCAAGGGATGGAGAATGGCCCTGCTCTCCTAGTTGGTATAAAACAGTGACATGTCTATTGTTGGAATAAATGCATTTGAAATGTTTGTTTGTAATGCTCCAGGGCAGTTTGGTATCTCCTACCTTTTCTAGTGTTGTGGTCTCAAAGGGGTCCTGATCTCAAGTGCAAGTAAATGGGGAAAATGTCACAGGAGATGAACTTCCATCACCAGCCACCTGCCTGACTGCTCAGCCAGCAGCAGTGCTCCAGCCAGGGGGAGGTCAAGGAAGAAAACATAACTAAAAACCTTTCTAATAGCTCCAAAGACCTGGGATTGGTTGCTCTGGTGCTGGTGGGTTCTTTGTAGCAGATCCTAGCAGATTTCAGCTAGAGTTTTGATAATTTATGTGATGAAATATGTCTCTGGCCTTTCAAAGTTGTCCTGCCCTGGTTTATTTCTGCTTTGTGGACTCTGCCTTTTCTCACCTCACACAGCTGCCATCCTCCTCAAATCTCCCTTCACTGTTCTGGCATCTTGCATTGCAGTGTTCAAGATAACCAATTTTTAGAGATGTTGCTATAATTTTACAAGACTATGGTGACTTTTCCTGTAAAAGCAGAATTGGATGCAGTTTCCTGAGGCAGCCTTCCCATGCAGCAGGCAGACATGCACACGCACGCACAGCTCCCTCATAAGCTCATTCTGTCAAGTCCTCCCTCTGTAAATTAGATCCCCAGTGGGTCTCTTTGCTACAGACAAACCCATTAAAAAGACCATCCAGCATTTTCCTTCTTTTGACACGAGTGTATTATGGAATGTCACCTCGTGTCTGCAGACAAGGTGGAGATGACTATCTGGCTGCATTTGTCACGGTTATCCTGTGGCGAGTTGTCACTTGAAGGTCATTTTAACGTCCGTTCCATTAGCAGCATGTCAGTGACGAAGGTGGTCTCACATCTGTCTGTCTCAAGAAATCTGTAGGTCAATAGAAAGGGGGCTAACTAGACAGACTTAACATTTTCTGGGGTGGGTGATTGTGTTTTCCTTTTATCTGTTTGTTTGCTGCCATCTGTTTGTGAGCTCCGGCCTCCTGCTTTTCTGCTTTGTTCTCTTGCACTTGCTGTTCCCTGTTTGTTGTGTTGCCTTGTTGGAATGGGTGAAACATTTGGCTTCAGAGGAAGTGGGATCCATTGGGTGCCCTAACTGGAGATAGTTGTTCTCTTTCCTCCCCGCCCAGGATCATAAGCTTTTCTTGTGGCATTTTTTCCGACACCAAACATGCATCATTGGAGGTTGAAATCAAGGTCGCTTCCTGCAAGAGAATGGTAAAAAGCAGGGCTTCATTCTGAGGCTAGGGAGGTGATAAAAATGAAAAGCTATATAAAAGCAGAATAAAATCCTATTTTTTTTCCTGGAGCTTTCTCCCATGGACACATTGTCCAGTGAGTGAGAAATTCCGTGACTGGATAGTGACTGAAACGCCTCTGCATCAGCAGTGTGATCTCTGAATTGTCCTGTGGGACCCTCGGGGAAGAGGAGTGTGTCCTTCTGCTCCTCTGTTCCCCAGTTTGCACAGAATACCTAGAGAAAACTGATGTGCTGTCACATCTTCTTGAAATGTGCCAACACATCTGAGTGACATTTGGGAGGATGAATGCAGGAGAGTGGTGTCTGCACAGGCAAAGTTTCCCTTTTACTGAAAGATGGGTTAACTGGGAATAATGCACCAGCACTGGTCTCTGCTTCTCTGCTCATTTCCTCCTGCCAAGAGGGCTGAACATGTAGTTGGTAGGCAGAGGCAGGAACAGGGAGTCTGTGGGTACTGGTGTTGTGGCTGTGGTGCTAAATACCTTCTATGGAGGGGTTCTGTTTGTGGAGTTATCTCACAACATGCATGTGTCGAGATCCCTTCAAAAGTGTCAAGGATCGGGGATTGCTGAGCAGCCTCTGGGAAGGGTGGAAGTGTCCTCTGAGGTGTGGGCTCATACAGAGCTGAACAGTTCAGTCACTGGTGCTGCTGGCCTGGCTGATGCAGGTCAAAGGTGTGAAATGTAATTTATTTCGGGAAAGATCTTCTACATTAGCCATGCTGTAAAAGCTGTGGGTAGCAATTTATTTTTATCACACTGGGAAAAATCAGCGCCTTGGTTTGTAGTACCCCAGTGAGGCCTGGAGCAAGTGGTGGGGTGAGCTGGGTAGTTTGGCCTTTAGCAAGTCATCCAACATCTTGGCTTGCAGACTGCTGTGCTGCAGACATGTGATGAAGCTTTATTTTAATACAGCAAGGATACAGCTTCAGCAAGGATTAATTTTGATCTTGAGGGATGTTGCAGCAAAGCAGAATAAGCCATGAAAGAATTTAAAGTATTTTATGGTGGGTTTAATATTGAGGTTTCTAGTTAAAATGTGCACAGGCCTAGGCCATGACTTGGGCTACCAGTGCTCTTGTTAATGCTCCATTCAGCTAAGGTTAGGAAATTCTTTCCATTTAATTCCCTTTCAAAAATATATCTCAATTAATTGTTTTGGATCTCCTCCTGGAAGGCTTGATGAGGAAATACAAAAGCTCTTTCCTATCCCAGAGTGCTGGATAACTGTACAAAATAGTATCCATCACCCCAGGAAATCCCAGTTTCAGCAGGTCAGTCAGGTAAGATGTAGAATGCAGCTCACTCATATTCCTTAATGATAAAGTCTCTTTGGGAAGTAACAGCACCTTTCAGTCTAAGTGAGAGCAAACCTTTTTCAATCAGCACCCACTGTGAGAAGGCTTTGCACTTCTGTACAGACCAAGGAGTCGTTGTGAGGTGAGTTCAGTGTAGAAAGGGAATTGCTTTGCAGAAGGAAGCAATGCAAGTGCTTTTATGTAGCAGAGCCTTTAGCTCAAGACCAGAGCTGGCTTGGGTGGGTGGCACCATCATCCCCATGCAAATGTCCCTCCTTATTTTACTGTCTAAGTGAAAGTTCTTAGAGCCCAGATGAAGATTGGACAAATCACAGTGCAAAGAGCAGCACCAGCTCCCAGGCAGCAATCCTTCTCTTGGGCCTGACCCAGGAATGTTTTCAGCAACCTCACTCTTCACAGAACTGTTGCAAAGAGAGTGTTCCCAAGACCCTGCCACAGCTGCTGCAGGTGAGCAGAACCTCAAGGGGAAGCACAGAAGTTTGCTGTAGGTTTTGCCTTCTAAAGATCTCCACTCTTGAATTGCAGTCCTCTCAGGTAAAGTCCCTTTTTGTATTTACAAACCTGTGAGACCGAGCAGCTACATAAATAAGTGACACAGCACTCACTGGCTTTAGGGAAGGCAAAGGAGAAATGGATTGCCATGACCATGAGAATTTCAATTTGCTACTGTTGAGACTTCTAAATACTTAAACTGACTGGGGCAATCCTAGATCTGAGTCAGGTTTATACTGGTTTGATTTCCACAATGGGTTTCAGTTTGCACAGGACTGAGGCTGGGCTAGATAAAAGTAAGGCCTTACAGGAAATGGTTGAAGAGGAAACATGCAGCCCATACTGGTCATTTTGCACAGTACCCTTATCTGACAGGCACAAATCTCTGACACAATTCTCTGACAAATATCTCTTCCATCTCCATAGCTTAGGGGGGTTTGCACTCTTTACTTTTACAGTAACTTTCCCTGTCATTTCAGTGTTTTTAAGTAGTCTCTGGCCATAGCAGGATTTGCTGGCACTGGGGTAGGTAATTTGTGTGCAAAGGCCTAGAGCATGAGTTCCCAGGCTTCTTTCTGTCTAGACCAGTTATTAAAACTGGAAAATAAATTGTAAAAGAACCCCAACCAACCAAAACACCATCAGCCACATTTCAGGTCAACTCAGAATTTGTAATGTAAGAGACTTTTGTGTTTTGGCAATTACCAGCATTGCTTCACGCAAGATTTATTTTTATTACATGAATTTCTCAAGCCACTTTACTAAGGCTGTGTTCCAAAGCCAGATTACAATTAACTGGCCCATCCTGCAGATGAGGCAAGAGCATAAAAAAATCTTGATGTGCTATAAGGAAAGGCTGTGTGGCCAACACAGTTTTGGTTGGGCAGCTTTTTTTGTTTATAAAAGTTGTTCTCAAGATGTATTCTCTTCATAGATGGGACCACCCCAGGCACATTGTTTCACTTACTCCAGGTAAGGTGTTTCAGGAAAAAGCCAATCAAAACTTTCTTTCAGCACTTCTTTGCAGTGCCCAACAGAAGAGTTGCACCAAAGTCCATGAGGCAGCCCCATTACAAGAGGTGACAGTAAATTACTCAGTGGAAAGGTACAAGTTTTGCTAAATTTTTTTAAAAGGTTTAGCTAAAACAACTTGGGCTGAACTGTCCCTTGCAGGGGAGGCTCACAGCACCCATTGTGTTCTGATGACTCACTCTATTGCTCTCCAGAGCTAGTGAACAAATAAATAGCCCTGGGATGGTCTATTGATTGTATTTGTTACATTAAAGACAAGCAGATGTAGCTCATGTCAGATGTGGATTGAGCCTTCTTTTCCAAAGACTGTTTTCTGTTAAAAGAACAGGTGGAGTTCAGAATAGGCTTCCTGAAAACTCCAGTTCTGCCTGCTTTAGCATGTGTCAGTTCTGACTTCAAGATGCTCCTTTTGGATCAGTGAAAGGGACACTGTATCACAGCCACCTGTGAAAGACAACAGGTGACCTGCCTCAGCACTGGGCTGTCAGGGTGGCACAACTGTCACCTAGTTAATGTCACTGCTGGGACATGTGCTTGTAGCTGCAGGCTGCACTACAAATTCCCTTCCTCAAAAGCAGATTATTTTACTCTTGAGGTGTTTTCTATGCAAAAGAAAATTTAACCCCTCTGCTACCACTGAAGATAAGGAATTAAGTAGCACATACTTTATCTTGCAGTGAGTGTGCTGTACTTCAGAGCCACTTTTGAGTATGACATTCTGTCCCAACAGATTCTGCTGTACTCACCCCTGTCCTGATTTACCATTATCTTCCCCCCATGAATAATTCCACTTCAACAAATATATCCAGCAGATTTTAAACACTTTATTTAATAAAAGTTAAACATACAAAACTGAAATTAACACACTTTGTATTCATAAAAATCACCATCTCCCATTACAGGGAGAACCTTTTTCTATGTATGGATTCTAAACTACTGCTTGTAGAGTTTAGCTTGAGTTGTGACTCAGGTAACTGATGGACATTTCCACCAATCAGTGCATCAACAATTGCTGACGTGACCTGATCTAGTTAACAAATTACAAAATGAGCTACATTAACATAATATACAGGGAAATAATGGTCAGGGTTAATGGACAAGACACACGTTTTATTTAATGGGGGAAATAGCTGATGTACTCTTGTCCATTAACTCAGCCCTAGATTTTACAAAAATAATATCTACATTGTATACAGGGCTACCCATTAACTTCTTGAAACACATGACGGGTCCAGAGGTGGCGTCGCTACCGCAAGTGCGAGACAAGGAACAGAGGAAAGCAAATCACAGAGAGTACAAAAATGCAAGAGCTTTTACACGTGGGTTCCTGAAGAAAACTGAAGGGGCTCAGCAGCACTGTAATACAGCTGAAGGTACAATGGACTCTAGGGCCAGTCAGTTCTGTAAGGACAGAAATTCCCAGCTAACCTTTACTCACTCACAGCTAACTAAGTGGGATCCAGGCATTCACATCTGCTGTGCTGTGCTTCTCCATGTCTGGATGGGGCCCAGGCTGTCACTGCTGTGACTGCACCAACACACCTACAAGATCTACAAGGGAGGACAGGACAGCTCCTTTCCACAGCACCAGCTCTGACCCCTGGGGATGGGTGGGGACTCTTAAGTACAGTTCCTTGTCCTATGGTTTTCTGGTTACATTTCATTAACTTCCTATTATAATTTGATGAGTATTTATAAAACAAATAAAGAAAGAAAAACAACCAACAAGAAACAGCATCTCCTCTGCTGAAATTCAAGTGCAAGAAATTTGGACTGGAATTAAGTCAAATTTATTGTTTCTAGAATGTAAGTGATCATTAGTAATAAAGATCCTATCAGCCCTGTTCTGCCCTCATTTACAGCTGTACAAACTGATCCACAGTGGATTTGTAAAGGGAGTTATTTAAACTTCCTTAGCAATTCCATGTGACATGTCAGCTCTCTCCCAGAGCTGCAGCAGCTCTGTAATTTTGAGCATGTCACAGGCAGCACCGTGACTACAGAAACCAGGGAGGCTCTTAAGGTGCCATTTTTATACCACCACTTTTTTTGAAGGAAAAAAAAAACCTTCATGACTGGTATGAATGAAAGATTCAAAGCTGAAGACAAATACTGCTTTGAAAGTAACAGGCAACAGCAGTTCATGAATTCATTAATGTTTACCTGCTACAGAAAGTTTAATGGTTGGGGGTGTTCAAATCAAGAGCTGGAGATTTAAGGCTCAAATCAGCTGAAGCCAAAGTGATGGTGACAAAATGGACTACTCACTATGTGCCAACAAATAATTTACTTTTAGAAAAATATAATGATAAAAAGGTAAGTGTAAAGCCCTGCAGAGATGAAGTTCCACCTTTTCCACCTGTTACTGAGGCATCAGATGCCTGACATTATATTTAGAGGTATCTTGATACTGTGTCATAGGTTTGTCTGCAATTCCACATGTTCCAACGCCAACCTTGCCAGTTACGCTCTCAGGGGAAGCAAAAATACTCCTTTTCACCTGCAAATAAATCAGAAAACACCATGTCTGAATAATCACCAGCTGCATTTTACAAAAAAAAAAAATCAAACCAAACAAACAATCATTACCACCTGAGGTGCTTCAGCATTCCCAACTTTTGCCCTACAGATGGGGACACTTTTTAACAGCCAGCCCAGCTGTGATGTGTTGTCACTGAGTGAAGCAATGGGGCTGGGAACTTCTGGCACCTCAATACTGGATGTGATTGGGGTACTGAGGATCTCAGGTCAGGCCAAGAAGGAATAAAATCACCTCTCATAAGGGCATCTCTAATAATTGCTCAAAAGGAAGATTAAAGTTTTACCGCTATGTCTGGCAGCTCTTGGGCAAGCCATGACAGAAATGGAATAAGACTTAATGTCCTTGCTACCTTTTCTGCCCCACACTTGCTGTTCCAGGGCACATCCTCAGCACTGTGCCTCCTGGGTCACAAACACAGCAAGAAGCCAGACTTGGAGGTTCAGAGGGGCCCTCAGGTTCTTGGCTCCAACAAACACCAGCTGGCACCTGATGCAAGCCTCGTTCTCCCAGCCAAGGGAAAGCTCACCCTCTTAGGAGCAGCACTCCTCCAAAACAATCCAGTAAAAAAACAGGCATTTGAAGTGCACAAAATACAAAAATGCACACTTCAGAATCCCAAAGACACCCAAATCCCCATGATACATCCCTTTAAAAACCACCTCCTTTCTCCCAAGTTATTGCACAGAAGTCTATGCCCTGTTGCTACTCACATACTGACAAAAGTAAACAAACCTGGCCTTTTTTGTTTTTAGAATAGGCTCTGTTGTTAAACTGTTGCCACTTGACTTTCTGGTCCTCTCGTTCCTGTTCAAGTTCTTTAATTCTCTGAGCTTTTTTCAAAGCTTTCTTCTTTTTATACTCTCGTTGCTGGGCTATCATCTCTTTTCTGGAGAAAAGGAAAAACAACAAAAACAAACCCCACATTTCATGTTTGTGCCTCTTCCTGTAACAAACTACAATCTGACTGTAAAACAGACATGCACATTAATTTTCCAGAAGTTTACAGAATTTACAGAAATAAAGCTTGTAAATATTCATCATTTCTAGGAGGTAAAAAAAAAATCCCAAAAACCTAAAATTCCAAACCTAATCTTTCCATAAATAAGCATCACCTTACTAATTGATGCATTTGGCATAACAACAAGCACCAAGCACACCTGAGGAGCCCAAGCCAAACAGCAACCCATGGGATTGGGTGCAGTTCATTTCTGGGGGAAATGGGACCTGTCAGCACTTCTACATTTCAGGAACATCTTGGGTTTGGAAAGTGTGAATAACCCATTGGAGTGAAAAGCCCCAACTTTTCTGGAGGTCTGCAGGAGTCTGCTACCAATCATTGGACAGGGGTGGAAGGAAAAGGACAGAGATTACTTCAGTGAAGACAAGGAAGTTGAAGGAGTCAATCTATGCCACCACAAATGCAGCATCCTCAGAACAACCTTTTAGGGAAGGGATCACTGGCTATAACAAACTGAAGAACTGTACCTTTTGTTTTTTCCAAAGTAAAAAAAAAAACAAAAAGTTTTCAGCCCTTACAAATACCTTACTGTGTTAGACATGGCAGGATACTAAGTAAATGTAAATTTAAAACAAAAACAAACCAGAAAAACACCTATTTCATTAACCAGTTTTTATAGCTGAGGGAGGAAAAAGAAAAAACAACCAACCCAAAACCAACCCACAACTCAGCATTCAGACTTCCATCTGTGTATTACTCACTTGGACATGGGTTTGTTGCCACTGTCCTCTTTTGCTTTCCTTCCCTCTTCCACAGGCTTGAGGTTGAACAGAGGTGTGACTTCAGCATTGCCATATCCAGCAAATGTCACTGCAGCTGTTCCATTCTCCTCATCTATTTCTTCAATCTCAGCTTCGTAACACCTGTAAAGATATCATGGCTGTAAGCATGTGAGTAAAGCTTTAATACTCAGCCCTTCAACACCTACATCAGCCAGCTAATGCCACTAAGTGAAAAATATGCAGATGCCAGCCTTCATTTTCAGGGGTAATACACAAATCAAGAGATTACTGTCTTAAGGTCCAAGGGACACAGGTACAAAGACTGGAATCTGCTGCATTTGACCTTTAGCTTCAACAAGCAATGCCCTCACAGCTATCACAACTAATGATTCATGCTGGGGCCAATCTAATCAGCTATCCTGATTTGGTTTTAGTTCTGGCAGGTCATGGGATAGAAAAAAAAAAGCTGAATTCACAGAATTCATTGAGTAGTTTTAGAAAATGTCAGCTCAGAAGTGCAAAGTTTTCATTCCATTTTTCTCCGTAAGACAAAGAACTAAGAAAAACTGAAGCTTTCAAAACATTCCCTCTTCAACAGTTTAAAGCTTAAAAGCTTTCATGTTGATTTAAAACAGAAATTTTGAAATTTTCACAGTGATCAGTCCATTTCATATTTACGTGTATGAAACGCTACTGTGTTTCATACACGTAAATATGGGAAAAAATTTTGAAAAATTTAAAAAAAAAATTACATTTCCAAAAATATTTAAAATAACTGTGTCTAACTTAAGGGCAAAAGGATATATCTAGAGCAAACAGAGGAAAAAAATGAAATGTTTCCTAGACAGTATTCCAATTAACATTTACTAATTAATTTCTTGTGTTTTTTCAGTGGGCCTACACCTTGAGCTGCATTAGGTGCAAACACACGAAAACCCAAAATTCTGGCTAGCTCTTTATGAAACACTGCTCTTAAGAAATGCTGCAACAGAAGAAGGATTTTCTAAAAAAAGCAGAACAATAAAGTCCAATAAGATGCACTTCCATGAACACACTGACACACTCTTCCCCAAGCTCTGATCCTGTAACCAAGGGATCAGACCAAAAACAATGATCCAGTGGTGACCTAAGACTAAGATTCAATTTTTAAGTTCTAACACAAAAACATTTTACTCATTAATAAACAGAAGAACTGTTCACTTTTAGACTAGTTTTCTACTTAAGACATCACAAGAGCTATACCAAAATCTTTACATGGCTATTACATTGTTAAGAGAAGCAGGTTCATCCAATAACAGAGCCTCTCTGTAAGTGGTAACAATTGCAATATTGGTCCTGCAAAAGCATTTTTTAAAGCTGCAACAGTTACACATTTGCAGTATGAAAAGTAATTTCTAAATGTTTATTTTGAAGTTTATGGAGTCAGAATGATTTGCTAGGGTTCCCAGAACTACACAGGATAATATATGAGACCAAATCCAAAAGGTTGATTAATTCTAAAGTTACATTACATAGCTATTTTATAGCCAAACCCAGCATTTTTAATTAAAGATTGAAAATTAATTTCCAATTAGAGGCCCAAACAGATACAGCAAGAATTTTTCTTCATAGCAATCAGTGACACACATATATGAATGCAATGACAAATCATGAATTACACATCTCAAAAGCTTTACAAAAGATTGTCCTAACTGACCAATTCTTTCCATCTACCATTTATGACACCAGCAAATGGTAATTTATAAAAGCTACCCTACTTTTATAAGGTTAGTGAAAAAAGGGCCCCCATCTCTTTGTTACCCAAAATACTGACCTTTAATAAACAGTCCAAGAACACTTAATACCACATTTATTTCACAATTTCTTTTTGCTTTTAGTCACCCATGTCAATTCAAACTGAATGAAAGTCTCTTACCATTGCACTATTTCATGTAACTGTTAGAGAAGCTTTCTACACTTACTGTCCATCCTCACTCCATATGGCCATACACCTGTCCCCAACCTTCCAGGAGTGACTGGGCAGGGCGGACGCGGAGCTGTCGGAACTCGCGAGGGTTTCCGAAGGTTGTGTTGAAAGGAGATCTTTGGTTAACTCTATGACTTCCTATAAAAAACAAAAAACCCACAAAGAATAATTTTTCAAATTCTTCTTACCAAGCATATATTTACCCCAAGCCTACTGGTTTTGGTTTGATTTTTTTAAAGTTACTATATTATATTCATTGCTGATGTGTGAATTACACTCACTGTGGTTTTTTAATAATTTAATTAAACTCATTAATTGCACTTGTAGATAAAAATATGTATGGTCCTCACTGTACTGCTGTAAAGCTGCCCATGCCCTCCTCCAAGTTTCAAAAAGCAGCCTATTATTTTTTATAGCATTTCTCTCATTGGCTGAACTGCAGCATGCAGAGCCAGGGTGGCAGAGCACCCTCCAAGCTGTGCAGCCGTCTCACTTTGCTAGAAAGCATCCAGGTGCACACTACAGAACTGCCTTCCTTAGCTCATTCTGATTGAAGTGTTTGTTTTTTTCCTAAGCTCCCTGACTTTGAGATTTCAGATCAGGCCTTCCCCTTGCTAATTCAAGATGACAAAATTTCCCAGTTCCTTTACACATTATTCATTTGCAAGCAGGAGGTTGCAAAACCCTCTACAATTTCCTGTAAATGTTACAGCAAAAACTAAGCAATGAAGACCTCCCTTGGATTTCACTAGGGTTAAAAAATCAAAGGAGACAGCATGTAAAGGGCCATATGAACTTTATATATAATGCAGAGAAACTTTGCTGGCCCTAAAGAAGAAAAATTCTTCAATTCTTTGAGTACCTCAGCATAAACCAGTCACTGTGCTAAAAACAGTAGACATCTAAGTCAGGGGAGGGTTACAGAAAGTGTTCAAAGCCTGAACTTCCCTCCCCATTTCACATCTTATTTCAGCTATGAGCATACAAAGACTCAGGAAAATGCAGTAAAGGAGCTGTTCATCATCCCTTAAGAACCTAAAGGTTTGTAAGCACTTTCCAAGTAAGTTTATGATGTATTAACTTGCAAGCACTTTTATCTGACAAACTATACAACTAACATCAAAGGCCCAACAGTTTGTTTCTGTTGCAGCATGTTGGTGTCAGAATTTCCAACAGCTAGTAAGTTTTGCTCTCTGCTTTGGAGGAGCTGCTGGTTAATAACTACTCTGGTGAGCACAATCAGAAGCAACTGTGAGCACAGAACACACAATTACTTCTACTACTTAGCTGACCATTTTCCTAAAGCATAACAGATTAACATCATCAAGTTACCTAATTTGAGAACATACAGCATTAACCTAATTTTCCCTCCCAGGTGCAAAATCCTAAACTATTCCTTAACATACAGGTAGCTGTATTCTGCAAATCCAGAAGGCATCATGGCTTAAGACAAGAATCTCTCTCAGCAGGTCAAGTACATCACATCAGGCACAAGGCACTCCTGAAAACAAGTGTTTCAGGTATTGCAACTACCAGTAACACCAAACTGTTGACTAATTCTTGCCTCAGAGATGGCTTATTCTAGAACTTGGATGTGAATAGTTTCAGACAAGTCTACCAAGAATCCTCTGAATTTAATAAAGCCCCTTACACACAAGGCTATTAAAATTACCAAACTTTTGTTAAAAATCTTCATCTGATCTCCCCCTACCGTAATGCTTGGCTCACAAGACAGAGACATTAATTTTATGGCAAGCCATGAGACAGCTCCCAAGTCTTTAAGAGAAGAGATCATTCCAAGAAAATTTCTGAGCAGGACTTGGACTACCACAGCAGCTCAGTGCAGCCAAACGGGTTGAACAGCATGGCTTGGTGCCACATCCCCGTGATAAGGAGGTGTGACCCACAGGGAACACTACTTAGTTTGCCAAGATTTTTCCTGGCCAACTGGTCTTCACAAAGCAGACAGAGCCCTACACTCCAGAGCACAACACCCACAGAGCTCATCTCCAATTACACAAGATGACAGCTGCCATCAAGGCTAGAAAAGGTAACTTTGGTTTTGGGTGCACAGACACTGTCCTAGAAACGTTTTGGTGAACCAAAAAGCAAAAAGCTAAGTACTTCTAACAATTTCTTCTAATAATTTAATCTTGAATAATCCAAGCATACAAAATGCATCAGTAGTTATAATAGGAAAAAGATGTTTCAGTAACACAGTAACCATCTTTTTGAACAGACAAAAAGCTGTTTAGTTGGGACACTGATGCATCAAACCCACTCTTACAGCTGTTGGCTTAGTTGGCATATATCAAGTCTGCAAAACATTATGTCATTTTCAAGGTGGAACATACGGATAGCAAACCTTTTGGGGACGAAAGTGTAAAGATCTTCCCCATTCTGTGCAGAAAGCTTTTATTAAAAAGTTTGCAAGTTGTCCTTTCACATCAATGATCTCTGCATATCAAAGCCGAGGTCGTGTTGGTATCGGAAATATCATCCCATATGGGTTTTGCTGTGCATTTTAAAAATATAAAAATATACACATGCTTTTAACAGTGTACAACAGAGCACATTCAGATGATCTATAAAGTGCCTTGTGGGCACAAAGCCTTTGCAGTTTAAAAGGAATTCTAAAGATCACTGTTTGGAGGCACTACTTGTGTTTTGGTTTTGAAGCCCCAATTTATTTCTGCTATTTCCACACAGAGCAGTGGTCACTGAACCTTGCACTGGGTAGTTTTATATATTTTTACACCTGATGGCTAAAGCAATCCACAACAGAAATGAAGCAGCATCTTGCACTCTCATGACAGATTTTAACAGCACTGCTGGGATTTGCTATATGCCAATGTGTCTTTACATGAACAAGAATCTAAAAGACCACTCATATACTTAAAATTAGGCAGGTGGCCTTCCTGTCACTAAACCACATCCCAAGGACCAGAAATTGGTTTTAGCTGTTAGGAACACACTATGCTCTTGTGACAAATGAAAAACACAACTCCTTTCCTTTCTTATATAGAAACACAATCAAGACTCAGATCACAAGGAATACAGAACTACACTCCAAAGCTTTAAACACTGCAAATGAATTTAATGAGTAAGCAGGTTCTGGATCAAGTTGAGATCTCATTAAGAACATCATGGTAAGCTAAACCAAGAGGCTTCAGCATTAGTAAAAACAACAAAAAATAATGACTTTGAGAAATGCTTCAGGAAAAAAAATTTAAACCCAGTACACAGTAAAGACAGCACTGGCATATCTTTCACCTCTCTGGCTAAAGTTTATAGAAAATGAGTTTGCTGTATAAATTAGTACATCTTTTTTAATAATAAAAAAAAAATTAAAATAGGCCATACTTTGGGTTTTTCCAAACTAAGCCTACCATGACTATATCAAGCTATGTGGAAGGAAACTAGCCAGGCCACCAAGTGTCTGTTTTTGTTGCAGGACAAGTATTTAGGCAAGTTAAAACACTAGCAAAAGACCCTGATGTTTCACCTACCCTCAAGTTCTCACCTGTAAGTCTTTCTTCAGTTTCAGTAAATCCTCATTGTCTGCATTGCCAGATAAGGCAGCCTCGACTTGCTGGAGCTGAGCTTTGTAGCTGGCCAACTGCTTAGCAAGGTCTTCTGACATCTACAAGGAACACACACACATACAAACCCCACATCAAAACAACGGCTTTGCTGCTTTTGTGGTCCAAGTGAGGTGAAATGACAACAACAAAAAAAGCTGTTACTAACGTGTTACAAACACAGCTCATTAAGTTTCAATGGTGAGTATTTGTTCAGTAATTTGACTATAGATCCCCGCTCATTTAATTTTTGTGCAGTTCCGGCTGCTCTCAAGAGAATTGTGAGGAACAGAGGGCACAAACACGTGTCCGTGCACGGGGCACAGGCACGACTCACACACAGCGTGACAGCAGCGGGGCCTCGGGCAAGCCTCGCACCGCCCCGGCCCCTTAGAAAATAAATGCACGTCCCAACAAACTCCGCGCACGGCGGTGTGTGCCCTGCGGGCGCCGCACACAGCGAGCCTCACACCGAAATCCCCCGCGGGCCCCGAGCACAGGGCCCTGCCGCGGCTCACGGGGCTCGGAGCGGCGCGGGAGAACAGACGGGCCTGGGCCTGCCCTGGCGCGGGCCCTGCCCAGGCCCAGGCCGGGCCCGGCCCAGGCCCCGGGCCGCTCAGAGCGGGCAGGGGCGCATCGCGCGGGGCCGGCAGGGCCCATCCGGCGCTCTCACCTCGGCGGTGCGGGGTGCGGGCCGTGCCCGGGCCGGGGGCTCCGCTCGGGGTCCCGTCGGGCCGCGGCCGCTGCGCTCCGGCTCCTTCCGCCGCCGCCGCAGCCGGCCTGGGGAGGGGGGGCAGGGGCGGGGCCTCGGCCGGCGCGCGCCGGAGCTCGCGAGAGCGGTCACGTGTGCCACCGGCCCGCGAGCGCGTCACGCGGCCCGCGGGTCACGTGTTCGGGGCGCCCCGCCCGCAGCCCCATGAGGGGGCGGGGCCGCGGCTGAGGGGGCGGCTGGGAGCCGGAGGTGGGCGGAGCCGGGAATTTAAAATTCCTCCTTTAGCGCTCTGTGCGGCTCGGCTCCGGGAACCACGGCAAATTTGTGTTCTGTGCGGCTCGGCTCCGGGAACCACGGCAAATTTGTGTTCTGTGCAGCTCGGCTCCGGGAACCACGGCAGATCTGTGCTGTGGCAGCACACGGCTCCAGGAACCGTGGCAGATTTGTGCTGTAGGAGTACACGGCTCCAGGAACCGTGGCAGATTTATCCTGTAGGAGTACACGGCTCCAGAAACCATGGCAGATTTGTGCTCTGTGGGTCTCGGCTCCAGGGACCGTGGCAGATTTGTACTGTCCGAGCACACGCTGCTGCACAGGACCAGAGTCCCTGACCCTGCCTGGACCCAGGGGCTTTGCTCCCTCACATCTTTGTTCCTGACAACAGCAAGTGTAGCAACACCCTCTGGCTGCTTACATGATTATCAGAACCGCGCAAAACTTACTGTCAAGCAGCTTAGGAGAGAGTAAGTTTCAATATTCGTCCTGCTGAGGAGAAAAGCTCAGTGGCTTCTTCAAGCCTGTCACAGGAAAAAAAATATATATGTCTGGTGGAAAGCCAGTGATTAATTTGGCTGTGAGCCAGGCAATTAAGCAGATGCCCAAAAATTTTCTTCATATTAGCAGGAGGATCAGTGTCTCCTGCAAGCATCCTGCCCCTCATGGTCACAGGCACACGGTGCCGCACAGGAAGCTGACTCCACTCATTGGAGTTGTTTATGTATTATGAGGAAAATACATCTACTGTGTTCTATGGCACTTGGTGTATGTCCTCTGAGGATATCCTGACCCAGAATGAAACGCATTTCTATATCTTGGTGTATGATTTGATAATTAAAATGTAGAAATTACTGGACTCTGTTCAGGGATTATTGATGAGACCAAGTGTAACAATGAAAATAGCAACAGCAACATTTTGGTGCTTTCATTTTTATGCAATTATAAACTAGAAATAATTAAGGAAACATTTTCTGATAAGACTTTGCAGACAGATCAGCAGCTGTTGAAATACATACAAATTTTTTGATACAGAGCAATCCTAATGACTTTGTGAGCATACCTATCAGTTAGAACAGGCATTGATACAATCAGTTTCAACTTCACATTTCAGGACAAGAAATCTATGCTGCATCTGTAGGACCAAGAGGGACTGAGAAGGCATCCATGGTTCAGCTATCTCCAAAGGCAGCAACAGCAAAAAGGAGAACGCTTCTGTGGTTGCAGCAGCAGGAGCAAGCATAAAGAGGCATTTTATTTCTATAAAACGTTTCGTGAGAGTTAATACTAAAGTAGATCTATGGTTATATAGTAGAGTATGTACTTTATAGTAGAGTATGGAGTTTTATGTGGTCTGCAGATATCTAAAAAGAGGCACCAACATTATAAGATATATATAGACTATATAATGCTATATATAGGAAAACAAGCCAGATCTTGAAATGACTGATCTTTAATTCCTACTAATTGAAAATTCTCATTAATTGCATCCTTAGCACTGGATTTATCTTCACCTAAAAATAGAGACCTTTTTCCTGTCTTTGACTAAAGAAGTTCTTTTATACTATACTGAGAAAAAACAGTGTAAGGAGAACATCTTCCTGCTGTCTTACAGATTACACTCTTTTAAAATATGTTTTATACTTCATTAAATGTTTGCTGCTTGGACAGATACATACATAGTAGCACATTACCATTACTTATACCAATAAATACAACTTAGCAAAAAAAAAAAAAAAAAGGCAACTTAATTGCCTTTTACCAAAAGAGAATGGCCCGGCCGGGTGGGAAGGCGAGGTTTGCGGTGCCGGGGGTGGCTGGGCGTGCCTTGGAAGGAGGGGGTACCTGCGAATCAAGGCAAACTGTGCGCGGCTGGGAGAGGCGCTGGCACAGCCCCGCTCGGCTCGGCCAGGAGGTGGTGGTGTTTAACCGGCTGCTCGGGAAACAGCTCTGCTCCACAATTCCGCCTCCTTTTTACAGACTGCTACGTGATTTTTATGCCTAGATAATGGGAACATATATGGGAAGTTGATTTTGGAGGCAACTTGGGCTATGCAGTCTTTTGGAACATGGACGTGCTTTGGTAAATACGTACACTTAAATCCTCAACACTCTGCATTAAATCTTGAAGCACTTAAGGATCAGAAATCTGAGTGCTGAGCAGCAACCAATGCTTTGAAGATGTTATTATGTCAAAATGATTTAATGTCCTGTTTTTCAGCTTTGTATGGATGTGTTGTTGTGCTCAGCACAGAGACCTAGCCACTAGCCAAAAACTGGCATCTGCAAATAAACCAGTCTGTCCTCATGACAGAAATTGCATCCCAAGTCTGGGCCAGAATGGAGACACTGAAAGTTTTTAGGCTTTTCTGGTAGGCTGCCTGCATGGCAGGCATTGTTCTGTCAGTGGGGCAGTATGCCAATCTTGAAAGTTATTGGTATATTAATTTGGATTAAGAAAATATTGTATTAATATTTCAATTTTTAGGACTGCTTTCCTGAAGGTTTTTTTCTTCAGTTGTCCTGGGCCTCTAAGGAAAAATTGCTTAATTTTAGGGGGAAGGGATTACTATTTGTCATTATAAGCAGAACTGTCAACTTTGTCCATAGATGCAATTATGCAATATTTCCCTTTATGAGGCATTTTGTTGTGGTTGCTTGTGCAAAATTTATTTCTACCACTTGATTGTGTTTTTTTTCTGCACCAGCTGTTTGAGTCTATCTGAACTTAGCAGTTCAAAGCTTGGCTCTTATAAAACCAAGTTATAGAAAGAAATTCTGCTTTCCCAGGCACTTGATTAAAATACACACTTACACTGGTGAGAGGTTCAAGTGCCTCTTTGCTGTAAAGCGTGGGCTGAACATTTCTCAGGGAAGTTCTGTGTGTTTTGAGTCTCCATTTTTTGCCGTTTTACTCTCCTGAAATTTGGCCTAATGGTCAGATTTTTCAGTGCCTGCTTACACAGAAGTTTGTGTGGAAGGGAAGTCGGGTAGTGTATGCATTCCTGGAGATAATTTGACTCTTTGCAGCCCAGGTAATCAGTACAAACTGTAGTGCTAAGCAAAGAAACCGAGAGTTCAAACATGTTCTGTCCTCTGAATTACTGCAGAAATGATTCCCATTGCTGAAAAGGGCACAGTGACTAAACTGAGGTGAATCAGAACTCAATGAAGAATAAGATCCAGGGTGGGACAACATGGGGATAAGAAGAAAATATCAGAATTAGAAAGAATGGACTGAAAACTTGCATCCTTCATGATGTCGTCCATTTCAGAGGGATTTGAGGCTCTTGGATTTCCATTCCCTTGCAACTGACAGCTTGTGGGAATGCCAGCTTAGGTGGGAAATGACAGCCCGCCAGTGTGGTCGTTTACTGGCACAAGCAGCAGGCCCCTTTGCTGGGTCCTGATCTGGCCTACACAACACAGACTGCCAGATGGGAACTGCAGCTTTGTGTGAGCCTTTGGTAGGGAGCAATATTCCAAGTCTTTCTCTGAGGCAGCTCTGCCATCTGTGTCAGGGAGGGTCAGCCCTGGAGGCCTGGGCACTGCAGGAGAAGGCAGCTGGATGTGCTGGTTCTTCTTCTTGGGGTGTAGGAATTGTGTTCCTGAGACTCCTCACATCCAGAAGGTGTTTGAGTGGCAGGAATGCTGAGAAGATAAGGGAAGTTTGGAAAGTAGGGAGCAAGGGCCATGGCAGAGGGTAGAGGAGCCTGGGAGCTGAGCTGAGTTAGGAGAAGAGCTGAAGCAGCAAGCCAGCAGTGTGGGAGGTTTGGGAAGCAGGAACTTGAGGTTAACATGGGAACAGCGTGGGGGTGTTTTGGTTGGTGCGTGGGGCAGGACGAGGGAAGGAAGGAACAAGATGGACTGCTGGGATGGAGTGTGGGGCTGCTGAGGGGAGAGGAGACCCAGTCCCTGCCCAGTGAGGGCAGGAAACAGGAGGGTTCTGTATGCACAAGAGAGCACATGAAAGGAGAGGGAAGGGATACGAGGGGCAGCTGGCAGCAGTGATGACTGTGTGTGTTCTCCCCAGGGCAGGGCTGCTGCCAGCTGTGTGCCACGCTCTGCCTGGGGATTGTGGCAGCTGGGCAGCAGCCTCCCACCACGAGCTGTGTGGCCTTGGGCGCTGCTGAGCTGCTCTGCTGTGGCCCACAGCTGCAGCTCCCTGCCAGCAGTCAGTCCTTGGTGGTCCACCCCCATGGGAGCTGCACAGGCCTGGTCTGAGCACTGTTCAGAACAGGGGATTTACAGTAACCAAAATGTGCAGTTAAAAATAGGCAGATGTTTGTGGGACCTCTGTTACTGTTTGCTGAATTTTAAAGGAAAGTGAGCTGAAGGAAGAGGAAGAGAGCCTTGCAAGAACTGGGTTTATTCTCCTGTGTAGGAGTATCTACATATTGTGAGTGAGGTAGGTCTGTGTATGAAACAAAACCTTAGAGTGTAACTTAGAGCTGATTGTCCCATGGGACTTGAAGTTGAGAACTGACCACAAAAGCTCTGATTCATCTGGAGGTAACTTTGCTGCCACAGGAGCATGGTTAGATTGCTTTTAGGAACTGTCATACATTCCTAGGTTTTGAAAGTTCATAGCTTCTTGGCTTGGAAGAGCTGCCACTCCTGATCAGTGTTACTTAGGCAATATGAGTAGTTTTGAGGGTAGTCAAAAATAGGAAGAGATTTGGAAAAGTGTTACTTATTTATAAAGAGGATTTTGATTATTTTCTGCCTCTTCTGAAGTTAACATCAAAATATTAATTAGTCACATGGACACCTTTGTACCTC